CCGCCGCCGGAGCCGGCCTTGCTCTCGCCGCCGCCCCCCCCTCCGCCGCCCCCGGCGACCCCGGCGGCCGCGCTGGACCTGGGCGACCAGAGGGAGCGCTGGGAGACGTTCCAGAAGCGGCAGCGCCTCACCTGTGAGGGCGCCGCCAAGCTGCTGCTGGACACCTTGTGAGTGCGGGGGACCCCGGCCGCGGCGGGTCTCCTGGCCCGCGGGTTCCCCCCAAGTTCTGTTCCCCGCCGGCTGGAGCGCATCCCCCCGCCCGCGCCCGGGGTCCGTTCGCAATTCCAACGGCTGCGCGGGGGACGTGCGCGTCGCGTCGAAAGTGGGGTTCATCCTAAAGACTGGGGGCCGCTGCCCCGGAGCGGGCTGAGGGGAGCTGGCAGCGGGCGCGGGCGGCCCGGGACACAAAAGAGCCGTGTGGGGAGGCCCGTCGCGCTGCAGACAGTGCCTCTCGGCGTGCAGCACAAAGGGTGCTGGGTGCTAGGCCTTCCCCCGGCGGGAAACGAAGATCAATAAATACGCTTTATCTCCTTTTTGATATCAGCACAAGCTTTTTTGTTTTCGTTTGTTTTTCCGGGGTGGAGCAAATAGGAAAGGTAGGACCTACGTAGAGAGAGAGGCTATAATGGTTTTGAACCCTTGGAAAGGAGAGACCCCTTTATTTTTCCCTGAAGAGGGAGCAGGGGTTGGGGCGAGGTTTATTGCTCTGGGAGAGAACGAGGTAGATCTGCTTTGGATGTAGAAGAGCGGGTGGGTTCCCCAGTGTTTTACAGGTGCTGGTCCAGGGTCTCAGGCTCCACTAGTTCTGCTTCTGAAGATCCTCCAGCTGCTTAGAAGTCTACTGAGTTTTAGAAGGTGTCCACGATATTCTTCTGAATTAGCTCTTGACTCGGGCAAAGGCGGCCCCCCCCCCACTAAATGTGACAGCATTTGGGTCCCTGCCCTGTAGATTAATTGTGTCACACACAGACACCTTAATAATATATCTAAATGTCCATTATTTTATGTATTGAAAAGAACAGTCAAAACATAGGTGGGGGGAACCTCTCACAATTGCAGAACAACCTGAGAATGGACATCTTTACTTTTGAACAAAAATGTTTCATTGCCCTTGTCCAGAAGAAAATCTCTTAAATTGGGATGAGTCTTCTCGGAGATAGAAACATTTGGTTTTCCTGTGTGCTTGACTTTTTGCTTTTATCATATTGGAATTTAGGCCGATCATTTTAGATTCATCAGACACCTGCTAGATAGAGGGAACAGAAAGATCCTCAGAAGTGTAAAACTCAAGTTTAAGGTAAAAATTACTTTCAAATCAATCCAGGGTCCTAACATGAGATTTTAAGATGTTGACATAACAAGATGAGGTATTTCTCACTTGTCATATTGGCATGAATATGCACTCATTTTTTAAGTCATAATCCACTAAATGAACGTATACATAAAACATATCGCACCATATCTTGTCGGGCTGCCTTTGGCAAGGTTAGCACTTTGAACCCAGTAGGCGTTCTTTGGAAGAAGGAAGAGGCTTTGTGCTCCTAGAAATCTTTACAGCCTCAGTAACCCAAAGGGGCAGTTATCTGTTCTATAGGGTCACTGCGAGTCATGAATGACTCAATGGCAGTTTGGTTGGTATACATAAAGGGTTTAAAAAATTATTATTGTATGTGTGCAGTGTACAGTTCATTGAAACCCCAAACAAAACAACCTGCTACCATCAAGTCAGTTCCAAAATTCACTGCCATCAAGTTGAGAGTGATTCTGACTCATAGGTACCCTATAGCACAGAGGAGAAGTGCTCCAATGGGTTTCGGAGGCTACAGAAAACCTCATCTTTCTCCCTTGGTGTGGCTGGTGAATTTGAACTACTGAATTTGTAGTCAGCAGCCCAAGATATCCAGGACTCCAATATAGTCAACCAGGATACAGGGTTTCCAAGGCTTTGTATATCTTACAGAAGCAAACAGCCTCATCCTTCTCCCATGGATGGATAAGGTGCTGGGTTTGAATGCTCACCTTGAGCTCCTAAGGTAGACTTCCAGTTATGATTAAATGTCATGTATATGAAAATATGCTAGAGAGTAATGCAGTAAAATCATAAGAACCCTGGTTCCTTTCTCTGAAGATTTTTTCCTAAACCACCAGACTCAGCCAGGTACTCTGTCTTACCTTTTCATAGCAGTTTTACCAGGCCTACCACAGCCACAATTAGTTATCATCTGGGAAATTTGTTTGGTGGCTATTCAAGGTTGGTAAGAGCAGGGCTGGTGTGTATTGCCTGCCTCATAGACATTCTCACTCATTAGACAGTGTTTGGGTAGTGGGATTAGGACACGTCCTCCCTCACCAGCACATTTGCCAGATGTTTGCAATGCTTTATTTTGTGACTTAAGAAAATTTTAAAAGTGGAAAGGCAAGAGCTCACAGAGGAAGGCATTGAATCTTTTCTTTTTGAAAATTAGCAGTCCTTCCGTAAAAGCAGAAATGCATCTGGTTGTCATGTATTTATTTTTTTTAAAAAGCTTCTCGTAGCTTGCTTCTTCCAACAGCGGTACGCGAGAACAGCGAGAACTTGAGCTGTGAAACAAAGGCCCCTGCCAGACTTCTCAGCACGCGTGTCTTTGTGGGTTGTGTCTCCTGCAGTGAGTACCAGGGCCTGGTGAAGCACGCCGGCGGTTGCCACTGTGGAGCAGTGCGCTTTGAGGTCTGGGCCTCGGCCGACCTGCACATCTTTGACTGCAAGTGAGTATTTTCTCCTGCCAACTTGGATTTTGAGTTAAAACGGAATGCTTCAAAATAACCAGCCGTGTTACGATAGCATAGCCAAAACAACTTTGGCCTTGAGTTAATAATTGCTGAAGCCCGGTCATGGGTACATAAGGGTTCATTGTTCTTTCTTTTTCGAAAAAAGTGGGGGCGGGGAGAGCACTCCAATAACGGAGCCTGCTGTGCATGTGCTTGTGTACATGTGCTCGTGTACATGTGAGTGAGAGAGCTGGCAGGGAGGGAGCAAGCCCCAGCACTGCTCCAGCTGACACAATCGCGGCCTCCAGGCTTGGGCTGAGGCTGCTGCTGGGCGGATGGGGAGGTCTGGCTGAGAACTGGACAGGAGCTCAGAGTGGGAGAAGGTAGCATGCACCCCGCCTCTGTGTTGCCCGTGCTCTCAGCCCTCTCCTTTGTTCTTCAAGATCAGGCAGATGGTATTGCACCCATCTGTGGAGGGCTTGCCTCTTGCTACCTTCCCGTCATTGCCGTAGAACAAAGGCAACAGGTCCTGACTTCTGAAACAGGAGTTGGCGTAGAATTAATTGTTCCACCATAGCCAGTCTGAATTATATAGGAATAATGAATAAACACCATGAAATGATTCAAATGGAGAAGTGACAACAGATTCTAGTTTGGGGGAAAAAGCATCTTGGAATAATTTGTTAAAAGACTCTGAAATAGAATTTGAAAAGAGGAACCCCTTCCCCCAAACCAAACCCATTGCAGGTTGACTCTGACTCATGTGACCCGTTCGTTAGGACAGTCAGTCGGTTCCCTCATGCTTCCAAGGCTGTAACTCCTTCCGGAAACAGACCGCTTCACCTTTCTTTCATGGAGCGCCTGGGAGATTTGAACCACCAGCCTTTGTTAACAGCCTGATACTTAACTCACTGCGTCACCAGGGTTCCTTGAAAAGAGGAACTTGGCTGTGATTTCGAGAACCTGTTCTGCTTGGGGGTAGGCTTTCTAGAGATGAAGAGAGAAGTTTAGATTTCTCTGTTCATTTTTGGTGTGGATATCTAAAAGGCATGCGGGAGCCCTCGTGGTCTAGTGGTTATGTGTAGGGCTGCTAACTGTAAGACCAGCCGTTTGAAACCACCTGCCACTCCAAGGGAGAAAGACACGGCTTTCTATCCTCATAAAGAGTTAAACAGCCTCAGAAACTCCCAGGGGCCGTCCTCCATTGCCCTTCAGGGTCGCTGTGAGCCACACTGAATTCAGTGGCAGTGAGTTTGGTTTGGGTTTGGATCTAAGAGGCATGAGAGGAGCAGTGACTGAAATTTGTTTTTGGAGCATCTCGGGTTGGGTTCAATGTTGCTGCCCCTTTTTCCTGGTTTTCAGCAGCCTCAACAGCTGGCCTGGAGAGCCATGGGCTCGTCTGCACTCAAGGGAGTAGAGGGGCTTCAGGCACCGGTTCACCTACCAAAGTTCCCTCTTCCCTGGCGGGTGCTGAAAGGGCTTCAGGGCTGGGTCCCTTGGGCACAAGGCAATGCAAATGGCTATCATTCACGATCTGGAATTCTCTGTCTCTTTGTAGCTGCAGCATTTGCAAGAAGAAGCAGAATAGACATTTCATTGTCCCAGCTTCTCGCTTCAAGCTCCTGAAGGTTAGTGTTTCCGGGTTAAAGTGTGCAGGCACCTAAGTGTGAGGCTCCGTGGGCCCTGGATTGCTGCTCTCAGTACAGGGTGGGGACAGGATTGGATGCATGTTTGATATTATCAAAACATTTTAAAAGAGAATAAAATCACCCAAATGTTATCAACCAAAGGTAACTACTGTTAATATTTTGGTATGTGGATGTATAGATTATTTTCTACACAGATGAATACATTTAACCATCTAATACATTTTTATTAAAGTAAGAGTTTACCATTTTTCCTATTTTTATAACCTACTTTCATCATTTCTCAATGAAAAAGCATTTAAATATTTTTAAACTTTAATTTTATTGTTTTGGGGATAAATTTCTAGCTGATAAATATATAGTGAAGTCATTCTACTCCTTCAGCCACCCAGTTTCCTTCCCTCTCAGTCAGTTTACATCTTGTATCATCATTTCTGTTTCTGCATGCCTCACTTATCAGTGATCTCATTATCTGACTCTCACATTTATGACATCAGTAAAAATCTGTCCAACGATTATATACATTAATGACATGCAGCGGTTGTGAGGGTGTGAGGTGAGAATAAAACTGGCTACAATAGCTAAGGTTTTTTTTTTTAATTTAGTAAATCATTTTATTGGGGGGCTCTTACATGTTTTATAACAATCATACATCCATTATATCAAGCAGACATGTACAATTCTTGACATCGACATTTCTAAATATTATCTTTCTTCTTGAGCCCTTTGATATCTTACACCGCCCATTCTTACACCTGCTATTCTGGCATTTATCCCCTTGAGGAGGATTATTCTGCCATCATTGCTATCTCTTCCGCCTTTCTCTTCCTTCCCTTCTCCTACCCTCCTGGAATCACTACTTCCATTACAGTTTCTGAGGAGAGTTGTCTATCCTGGGTTCCATATATTGAAAACTCTTGTCCGTGCCACTTTATGTACACTGGGCTAGTGGGATTTGTGAAGTAGGACTGAGATCATAATCGTGGGGGGAGGAAGGATTAAAGAGCTAGAGGAGTGTTGTGTGTTTCATTGGTGATAAACTGACCCCTGAATGTATTTTCCCTTCTGTGCAGCCCCTCTGCGTGGGAATGCCCAATAAACCACAGATGGGCTCTGGGTCTCTACTTTGACCCTTCTCCATCACCTCGATGAGATTGTTTATTTTTGAACTTCTGATGCCTGTTCCCATCAGCATTCATGATCACATAGGCTGGTGTGCTTCTTCCGTGTGGGCTTTGTTGTTAACCTGTTAGATGGCTACTTGTTTGGCTTCAAGCTTTTAAGACCCCAGACACAATATCTTTTCATAGCTGGGGACCATCTGCTTTCTTCCCCACATGTGCTTATGTCCCCAGTTTGTCTTCAGTGATCGTGTCGGGGCAGTGAGCATTGCCCAGTGCACATTATTAGAACAAAGTGTTCTATTTGTTGAGGGAAGACTTACGTGAAGCCATAGAGTCTGTCCATTACCTCAGTGTATTGCCATATAAATATATGTACATAGTCCAATACCCCTATTTTTATGCTTTAATATATTTACATATGTACACGTCTATGTTTATACCTCTATAAATGGTTTTGCTTTCTGGGTCTTTATTTCCTTTTACCTTCCTCTTGTGCCACTGTCATGCTCACCCTTCATTTGCCTCTCAGTAGTTCCTCTCGACCAGGTTATGGCTGCTCCAACTCCACCAGGAACTCTACACCCCCCTTGAATGGCTAAGGTTTTGTGTCAGCTAGGCTGGACCTTTATTCTCCGTAGTGTGACATGTAATTTGGCGGTTGATGTAACTATCCTCTATTTTGTGAGCTTTTGTGATCATCCTCAATTTCCCCACAATGTTGATTTGTTTGTTTGCTAATTACAACCTGGTCTTTGGAACCTAACCCTGTTGATAAGTGAGGAATGTCGTTGTTAGGTACCCTTGAATTGGTTCCAGGCCCAGCCCCATCGTGACCCAAAGCACAGCAGAACGAAACCCTGCCCGGTCCTGCTCCGCCCTCACATTCGTTCACTGTGCCTGAGCCTATTGTTCCGCACTGGGTCAGTCCATCTTGTTGACGGCCTTCCTCTCTTTCGCCGCCCTTCCACTTCACCAAGCATGAGTCCTTCTCTGGGGACTAGTATCTCCTGACAACGTGTCCAAAGTATGTAAGATGAAGTCTTGCCATCGTTTCCTCTAGAAAGCACTTTGGCTGTACTTCTTCCAAGACGGATCGTCTTGTCCTTTTAGCAGTCCATGGTAATTTCAGTACTCCTCTGCAGCACCACAAGTCCAATGCATTGTTGCTGCTTTTTTAATCATTTTCTTAGGGGCTCATACAGCTCTTATCACCATCCATAGATCAAGCACATTTGTACATTTGTTCCAGTCATCAATTTCAAAACATTTTCTTTCTACTTGGGCCCTTGGTATCAGCTCCTTATTTTTTCCCCTCCCCCCTCCACCTTTCCTCCCATATGAACCCTTGATAATGTATACATTATTATTATTTTTTCATGTCTTAACTGACCGATGTTTTCCTTCACCCACTTTTCTGTTTTCTGTCCCCCTGGGAGGGGGTTTTATGTAGATCCTTGTGATCGGTTCCCAGCATCGCTGCTGCTTTGGGTGATTGTAGCTGCAGCATATTTTGTTATACGAATGTACCATAGCACATTCCTATTTTAGGACATCTAGGTAGAGTCCAATTTTTTTCCAGTTATATATAACACTGTATTGAATATCTTCGGTAATTGAGAAATTATTTCTTTAGAGTCATTTCTCTTAGAAATAAAATCTTTGGATCAAAGAATACATACTTAAAAAAAAAAGACTTTGGTAAATGCCATTGCTGATGTGTGTCAGGGTGAGGCTTGAATGCCATCCTTTGTTCCCATCCCTGCCTTGCAGCCTGACAGAACTATATCCCTCCAGCAGTCATTTGGTCTGTCTCTTCTACGAGATTGTGAGTGCCTCCAAGGGAAGCGTCACATTTCGATGTTCGACCCAGCTCCCGGAATTGTCAGGCTTGGTACTGAGTACTGAGTGGGCACCCAAGTGAGAGTCTGCAAGGAAGGACTAACAAAATGATGCCTGTGTGAGTCCTGGTATTTCTGAGCTAATCCCACATGTTCAGTTAATTTACCTCCTCTTTGTCTGCACCTTGATTTTTGGGACATGTCAGTTGTGTGGTGTGGGGTGCCTGGTGAGGGAGTTAGGGAAAGTGGGCAGCATTTCTTTCTTGTACACACAGAGGAGGGCAGTATGCTGTCCTGCCTGTTGGAGGCTGTGGTCCCAGTTCAGCTTTGCTCCTACGTACTCATGAAAGATTGTTCATGAAAACATCACAGCACAGTCTTTGGTCTCCAAACTGATGTTGCATTTCTCCTCCCCACCCCTTCTCCTGGGCCTATCAGCACACATTTCTGGTGTTCTAGAGCATTCTCTTTCTCAGCCCCAGAACATTGAAGAGGCAATTTTCTGTTTGCTCTTTAAAAATTAAGCTCAAAACTTTTACTTGTTCAGGAAGTAATTGTGGGCCCCTGGGTGACATGAGGAGCCTGGTGGCATAAGGCATAATGGTTATGTGTTGGGCTGCTAACTTGAAGGTCTGCAGTTTGAAACCACCAGCTGCTCCATGGGAGAAAGAGAACGCTCTCTACTGTAGCCAAGAGTTACAGTCTCAGAAACCCACAGGGGAAGTTCCCTCCTGCCCAGTAGGGTCGCTCTGAGGCAGCATTGACTTGATGGCAGTGAGTTTGTTTCTTTGGTGGTGTGAACAGTTGACGCTTTTGGCTTTTAACTGAATGTCTGGAGGCTTCGAGTCCAATCGGAGGCCCCTCGAAAGAAAGCCGTGCTGATCCACTTCTCAAAAATCAGCCACCAGATAGATACCCTTTGGAGCAGAGTTCTGCTGACACACTGAAGTTGTCATGTGTCAGTCTACTGGACAGCAACTGGCAGCTGTCTGGCCGTCACTGTTCCAGGTGCTGAAGTACAGCAGCCAACATGACTGGCCCGGTTATTGTGCTCCTGGCACGTACATGCTTCTGAGGGGGATAATAGTTACCTAAATAAGAAGGAAAAAAACCCAAGAGTCTAGGTACTGTATAGAGAATCCAAATAATGGCTGTGTGATTAAAAAAACTAGCTGGCTGGCTACTTCAGATTGGCCAGCGAAGGTCTGTGTGGTGTTCCGATCTGAATGATGAAGACTGTCGATATGGACAGGCTTCAGACAAAGGGCGTGTGCTGGTGAGGGCCAGTGTAACGGACGCAAGCAGCATGAGCTTAGAATGTTTGAGGAGCTAAAACTGGCCCTTGTGGGTGGGTGAGGAAGGCCTGGTAGCGTAGTAGGTTACATGTTAGGCTGCTAACCCAGAGGTGAGTGGTTTGAAGGATGAGGTCGTCTGCTTCCTAAAGCTTTACAGCCTCAGAAAAACTATGGGGCAGTTTTACTCTGTCCTGTAGGGTCCTTATGAGTTGGAATCAACTCAAAGGCAGTGTTTTGTTTTGTTGGGAGTGGGTGAGAGTAGACTAAGGTAGGCAAGACCAGATCAGAAAATCAGCTTCATTCTATAGAGGTTCGTAAGCAGGGTGGGAACAAGACCCGATTCAACTTTGACTTAGACTACTGTGTAGAGATTGTCGGGAGGGAACTGGAGACAGGCTGTTAGAAGGTTGTCATGATAGACTAGGGACTGGATGATGGGAGCTTGGATTAGGATGGTAGTCATGGAGATGGAAAAAAAATAGATCATTGGAACAGGTCTTAGAGAACAGTAGTTCTCAAACATTAGTGTGGTCACTCCCACCACAGATCACTCGGTCTCACTCCTGGTTCCACAGGTCTTAATTGGGGGTCCAAGAATGTGCGTTTCTAACAAATTCTCATAGGAACCCTGGTGGCCCAGTGATGAAGTGATCAATTGCTAACCAGAAGACTGGTAACTTGGACCTACCAGGCCTTGGACAGTGACATTTGGAGACATGGAGAGCCAGCACCTAGGGTGGGCTGTATTCCATTTAGGCCCCGGGAGGCATCCATTTTCACTGCCTGACCCCAAGAGTGTGTGCTGTCTTGCCATGGGTCAAGGAAAGTTGTTCTGTTATAGTTGATCTCAGGGAAGTCATGAGGTGTTCCCGGTAAGAATGACTTTTCTCTAGACAGTGTAACCGTACTCAAAGGAGGATGACTCTGCCACGTTAAGCCATCGTAAGACTCTTAGTAAAAAGTGCATTTGTCTGTTTTCATGTAGGGAACCGAGAGCATGACCACATACACGTTCAATACGCACAAAGCCCAGCACACCTTCTGTAAGAGATGCGGTGTCCAGAGTTTCTACACTCCCCGCTCCAACCCTGGAGGCTATGGTAAGTCTTCGCGTGGGGCACAGAGCAGCTCTGCTACTGCTCTGGGTGAAAGATGCTGGTTGGCAGGACGAGGACAGACGGGTGGCAAGCCTACTGCTTAGCTGGACGTTCCACATGCATGCTGTGGGTTCCCACGTTGAGAGGAACAGGACTCCGCAGCTGGCGGAATAGAAGAGGGGCTCTGGTCAAACTTGGCTCTTTGGTGAAGCCTATGTTGCAGAACAGCCGGTCCTGATTCTTGTTGGTGTTACGGGAGCCACATGTGGCTGTGGGTGATAGTGTGATCATGAGGTGTCGATGGGATCAGATAGCAGGCATCAAAGACCCAGAACAAAAAATCATATGAATGTGAAGGAGGGGGAGCACAGAGTGGAGACCCAAAGCCCATCTATAGACAATTGGAGAGCCCCTTACAAGAAGGGTCACAAGGAAGAGACGAGCCAGTCAGGGTGCAGTATAGCACTGATGAAACATAACATTCCTCTAGTTCAGGGGTCTTCAAACTACAGCCTGCGGGCCACATGCAGCCTGCTGAGGACATGTATCTGGCTCGCCGGGTGTTTTTGCCCTGTTTTGTTTTTTGCTTCAAATTAAGATATGTGCACTGTACATAGGAATTTATTCATAGTTGTTTTTTTTAACTATAGTCTGGCCCTCCAACGGTCTGAGGGACAGTGAACTGGCCCTGTTTAAAAAGTTTGAGGACCCCTGCTCTAGTTCTTTAATGTTTCCCGCCCAGCCCCCACTATCATGACCCCAATTCTACCTTAAAAATCCGGCTAGACCAGAGCCTGTACACTGGTACAGATAAGAGCTCTCAATGCAAGGAATTCAAGACAGATAAACCTCTCAGGATTAATTATGAGAGTAGCGATACTAGGAGGGTAAGGGAAGGGGGGGTGGGGAGTAAGGGGGAACCGATCACAATGATCGACATATAACCCCCTTCCAGAGGGACGGACAACAGAAAAGTGGGTGAAGGGAGACAGCGGTCAGTATAAGACATGAAAAAAATAATTTATAAATTATCTAGGCTTCCAATTCTACCTTACAAATCTGGCTAGACCAGAGGATGTACACTGGTACAGATAAGAGCAGGAAACACAGGGAATCTAGGGCGAATGATCCCTTCAGGACCAGTGGTGAGAGTGGTGATTCCAGGAGGGTGGAGGGAGAGTGGGGTGGAATGGGGGAGCCGATTACAAGGATCTACATATAACCTCCTCCCTGGGGGATGGACAACAGAAAACCAGGTGAAGGGAGACGTCAGACAGTGTAAGATATGACAAAACAATACTAATTTATAAATTATCAAGGGTTCCTGAGGGAGGAGGGAGCGGAGCGGGAGGGGAAAAAATGAGGAGCTGACACCAAGGGCTCAAGTAGAAAACAAATGTTTGAGAATGATGATGGCAGCAAATGTACAAATGCGTTTGACACGATGGATGGATAAGTGAATTGTGTGTGATAAGAGTTGTACGAGCCCCCAATAAAATGATTTAAAAAAATAATAAAAGAGACATACCATCACAGAGAGCCGTAGACCTGAGGTCAGGGGAACAAAGGCGAGAATTTGGATGTGCTCCTAACATGACTTCACTGTGAAGTTGCTCACTTCCTGGGGACTTTTCCTTTTTGATGATTCTGGTTTTCAATACAGTTGAAGAGATATGGCAAATGGGGGGAAAATTACCAAGGGTTTATGCGGGAGAGTGGGGGAGGGAGGGGAAAAATGAGGAGCTGATACCAAGGGCTCAATTAGAAAGGAAATGTTTTGAGAATGATGATGGCAACGTATGTACACATGTGCTTAACATGATGGATGTATGGATTGTGATAAGAGCTGTACGAGCCCCCAATAAAAAGATTTCTTAAAAAAAGTGTAGAGAACAATGCTACGTTATAAGCCTGCATTTGAAAAAATAAAACACAAACAATGCTTAGACAGCTGTTCAGAATTTCTCTGTGAACTGAGTGGAACCAGGGGCTGAAGCTGTTCTGAGGAAGCCTGTCCCCTGCGCCTTCAGGGCTGTGGTCCCCGCAGGTCGACTGGTGGGGAGGGTGTGCCGTCACCTCTGCCCTTCGCTGCCCCATTTCTTTCGCTGCTTGTGTTTCGTCATCTGCCTACCTCGTGGTCCAGGAAAAGGCTATGAAAAACAATCAAATCCTGTACAAAATAAGGAGGGAGGTGTTTGATTCTCAGAAAGTTATCTATGTAAACATAGAAATTGTTATTTATCTAACTCACAGCCTGTGAATTCTTCAGACTGCCAGTCAGATTGCACTTGCCTTGAACCTGATGTTGTACGCCTACTACTCCCTACTGCTCCATCGCAGCTTGCCCCGCCTTGGCCATCCTTGGCGCACGAAGTCTGGTCTTTCTCTGATAGATGACAGGAAGCCAGCAAGCTTAAGTTGTAAGCTATGGCGTATCCTGAGATGTAGTTGAAGGGCGACTGTAGTTGACAGCTTGTCTGCAAGCTCCCAGAGCTGATGGTCTCACTCACACTTGGGCCTCCTCTCTCTAGGAATCGCTCCACATTGCCTGGACGAGGGCACTGTGCGGAGCATGGTCATCGAGGAGTTCAATGGCAGTGACTGGGAGAAAGCCGTGAAGGAGCACAAAACCATCAAGAACATGTCTAAAGAGTGAACAGCTTTCTGAGTCTCACTTCCCGAAAAGGAGGAGTGCTTGGGGCTGGCAACTCCGCCGCCCTGCTGCACTGCAGAGGTGCTCGTGAAAGTGGCTGACCGAGACTGGCTCCATCTCTGCCGTTTGCTCTGACTCCCAGTTCCTTTAGGCAGCTCTGTCCTTCCTTCGCCCAAATTTTGATGTAGCCTAGTTGACACCCTCTGTCTCTTCTCAACTTTTGTGTGATCTTTTAGAAATAAATATTTTTAACATTAAACCTCTTGGCACTTTGATTTTGTTTCTGAGGTGAATCAATTCATAGTAAATATTAACTGATGAGCATTACGAGGGAACATCAGGAGGGAGAGAGAAGACACAAGGAGAGTTTTTTAAAAAATCTCAGCTTTTGAATGATTATAACCCACGTGGTTGTGAAAACCACGAGCACTCGGAGGTCAGAGGGGAGAAGAAGCCCTGAAGAGGGTATAATTCGAGTTAAATTTTTTTAACTTTCAGTATCTCATTGCAACTTTTAATGAGGAACCTACACAGCAAAGCCTAGCCCCATGCCGCCATGTGTACTCAGTGTTCAGCGACAGGAGTTGCCGCCCCCTTGTGGCCCCGCGGCTCATTGCTTCACTCCCATTGGGTAGCTTAGGGTCACTTCTCCCCCTGCTCCTCTGTGCAGATGCATTGCCATCGAGTGATTCTCACAGGGACGCTAGAGGCAGAACAGACCTGCCACTTTGGGTTTCTGAGACTTTTTAGGGGAGTAGAAAGCCTCATCTTTCTCCCATCAAGCGCCTGGTGGTTTCAACCTGCGTCTGACCTTGCTGTTAGCAGCCCCACCCTTAACTCACTGTCCCTCTAGGGCTCCCTCGGATTTCTTAGAGTATAAGCTCCCAAAATGAATTGGCCTACTGCCCCTTTTCAGGAAAAAAAGTTACTCAGCACCCCCCTGACAATGGAGACCTTTTCTACTCGAGCTACACTCCATAGTCAGTGTGGGAATCTGCTTCAGCAGCTCCCCTGGATTGTCCCAGCACCCTCCCCTCAGGGGTCATATTGCCCACTTTGCAAACACTCTTGTTAGAATAACTTGTCCATGTTTGTCATACAGATGTTTCTTTAAAAAGAGTTCAGTACTCAAGGATGACATCCCTTGTGAAGGGAACTTACTATTTAGTTAACAGGTGACTTCAGAGTAACTTTCACAAAACCCGCCTTTCCTTACCAAATGCATAATGATAAGCATGATAATTGTTCTTTATTTTCGGACGACTCATCGACTAATCATTTGTAAGACAACCTCTCACTCCAAACTCATTGCTCTAGTCAATTCCAACTCTCAGCCACCCAGACACGAAAAAGTGAAGAACAGAGAGGTGATAAAGATGGTGAATTCCTGAGTTTGCTTGACTTGTTCTGTGTGATCACCCCCTTTTCAGAGGCATCAACAGCTGTCACGCTCAGGTTGGAAGGAACTGGGCAACCCCAGGGAATGGGATTTTCAGACCCAAAGCATCAGGGTTTTTTAAAAAAATCATTTTATTAGGGGCTCATACAACTCATCACAATCCATACATACATCAATTGTGTAAAGCACATTTGT